TATATATATATATATATATATATATATATATATATATATATAACCCACTTCCTTAGCAAAGCGTATACAAGAGGTTTATGTATGTATATATGTATATGTATGTATGTATTTATATATATATGTATGTATATATGTATATATGTATATATATATATATATATTGGGTGAATTGTTTGGTGCACATTCGTCCCTTTGCTTGCTTGTTTGTTCTTTTCACCTGCTTTTGCTGTTTTCACGTTAAGACTCGAAATCGCTAAATGATGATGTTAATTTAAGAAACTGCATACTGAAGAGTAGGACTGCTTTCGGAAAAGGGAGCTTGAGTGAATGTGAAATTATGAAATGCTTTGAGTGCTTGGTAAAAAATAGATGAAAGCTGCATTTTAAATGCACATTGAAGCGAGTGTTATTTGGTAAAATTGTATTTCAAAAGTTCATTAAATATTGTGTGACAAATATATCCTGCTAAAATTTTGAATATTTATTCAAAAGTGAATATATATACTTTTTTATTTCAATTAATAAGTAAATAAATAAAATAAATAAATGAATGCATGTAATCTTACAAAAAATTTCATCTAACCTAGATATATAATAAATAAAAAAACTATAATCATATAAATAAATATAAAATAACTTTTGAAAATAATAAATAAAATTTCACCTTTTAAAAGACATAAATCATGTTAGTTTCTCACTAATTCATATTGGTAATTTTGTTATTTTAAATAATATTATAAAGTTTTTGAAAATTTAAAAAATTACATTGGCATCCCGTAAATGTGGAAATGCTAGCATTAGCATTTCAACGTTTGTAATATAGCATCCAGGCCAAATGTAATTTGAAAAAAACTTATCAAACATTAAATTACATTTGAAATGTGTATTGAACCCTCAGTGCACATTTCAAATGTATTCCCAAACATCGTCTTAGATTGTTGGATTTGAAAAATACTTTAAAATATCCACTATCTATGACAAAGGTTAGTTAGTAGTGTTGGTTGGGTAACCAAGACTAATGGGCTGGGTTAGACTTTAATCAGGATCATAGACGTGGCCAACTTAGCAAATGACCATGATAAGCCAACCCAGCCCACTTGGCCAACCTGATGTAGCTTGAGCCCGTCTAACCTGGTTTTATTTTTTATCTAACTCGTCATTGAGGCGCCCCAAAATCTGATCAGACCCAATCCCTTGTAGATTCAATCCCTCTCAAACCCAATCCTTCCAAGACCCTGATCTCAAATTTCATGAATTGATCTAATCCTCTTGCCTTTTCCTTGTGTTTGCAAACCTTCCTAGACCTTAATTCACTGGATGCATCGCTTTAGAATCCAGTGATTTACTATGCAAACCTTGTTTTGAGTCATGAGAACACCTCAATTGAGCTCTGCTTCCCATCTCATTGTCGTCTTGAACTAGCTAACTCTTGAGTGATGCTTGACTCCATTGATGCAAGATCTGGGAAGCATCAGTATACACAACCTTCCTCTTACTAGTAGAAAGACTATTTCGATGATCCTAAATTCTTATGCCTAGATCACAAACGGAGCATTCTTACCCAGACACAGATATTTGCTACTTTCTCAATTCTAAGGGTTGCACGGAAAAAACACAGAGATGGCAGAAAAGCAAACTACGCCATGATTGTTATGGGATTCCAGGGCTCTGCACTGGCACATATCTTAGATGGCCAAAATCCAAACTATACTTGAAATTTTGAGTACATATCTGATATTTAGTGGCTTTGCACTGGATATGCATGAAAGCTTCCCTTCTACTTAACTCAATTATGAGAAAGACTGTAATATCTCTTGTTGGTAATGTTAGATTACACTGCTTCATACTCCATCAGTAAAATTTACAAGTTTTCTGTTCCTTCTAACAGAAATCTTGGTGCCCTGTGTTTGATATGTGTGAATTGCACTCATTATCTTGAAAGACAATGTATAGAATTGGATTGTGAACTTCCATGATTCTCCATTGTCTTTTGCATTTATTTCTGAACTATGGTGTTTCAAAATAATGTCTGCAGCAGTTTCAAAGATGGTGTATGCTCTGTTCGATTTATGGTTCTATTTGACTTATTCCATTAGCTTTCCATTCTTGGTTTTAAAATGATTAGATAGTACAATTTAACAAGAAATACACAGAGAACAATACGATTTTATTGACCTTCCATTGGAGTGTCTAGATGCACAATTTGTAGTTGCTTTTTTTGGATTTCTTATAGATGTTGAGATGAACCGATGGCATATGTTAACTTGGTTACTGCACTTATTTACCGCTCTTTTGTGCCTAAGTTAACTTATTTACTGCCTAAATACACAGAAAAAAATATGATTTTTATACTCTTGTCTTTGTAGGCTATCTCTGCATCAGGCACAAAGAAAAATGAATTGATCTTCGGTGAGCTTCAGTCTCAGCTGAAGAATAAAAATATCAGTTTTGATGTTAAAGCCACTTCAGACTCTAAGGTAAGCTGTAGCTTCGTATTCTATGCTTCAAAAATTTCCATTTTTGTTAATCTAGTTTTCTTCCTATTTTCTGTCACATGTTAATCACTCTGTCATCGTGTTGGAAACATGACCTAACTAGGTATATGATTGATATCATGGTGGACATAAATTTGTTAATCCTGCCATTTTATTCTATGTGGAAGTTGCAAGGTATATTGCTAGTATATGGAACCTTGAAGTTGAGACTGAAACTTACTACTACTCATGCTTTTTCTTTCACCTGCCAGCTTCTTACAACTGTCACAGTTGATGAACTTGCAACACCTGGGTTGAGATCAATTTTCAATTTTATCATACCGGATCAGCAGTTGGGAAAGGTAGATATCCATTTAATTTTTTGTTGGTAGGAAAAATCATATTTATTAATGCTGTATGCTTGTTATGCATCATGCTTTTCTATCTTTGATGTTTTTGTAGGTTGAGCTGCAATACCTGCATGATTATGTGGGTGTAACTGCTGCTGTTGGATTGACTGCCAACCCTATTGTCAACCTTTCTGGAGTGGTTGGAACTAATGTCTACTCTGTCGGAGCTGATGTGTCATTTGATACTGCAACAGGAAACTTCATCAAGTGTAATGGAGGGTTGAGTGTCATCAATGCTGATCTTATTGCCTCATTAACTGTGTAAGTATATCCGAAATTGTTCATCCTTCTTTGTGGATATGGAAGCTATTTCCCAATCTTACTATGACATGCTAGAGGAATGTGTAATGTTGTCCTGTACTCTTCTTAGCTAGTACTATTGTGAAACCAAACAAAAGATGTTATCTGGGTTCTTACTTGCTGATTCAGAATTTTGATGTAGAAATGACAAGGGAGACAGCATAAATGCCTCCTATTACCACCTGGTGAGCCCATTATCCAGTACTGCAGTTGGGGCAGAGCTAACTCACAATTTCTCGACCAACGAGAACAGCCTAACCTTTGGGACTCAACATGCCCTGGACCCCCTTACCATTGTCAAGGCTCGCCTCAACAATTATGGCAAAGCTAGTGCACTGATCCAACATGAGTGGAGGCCGAAATCATTCTTCACCATCTCTGGGGAGATCGACTCAAAAGCCATTGAGAAGGGTGCTAAGGTTGGGCTGGCCTTGGTCCTCAGGCCCTAATGAAAGGACTCTATGGGTTATTTAGCATCGTCCTTCTGATTCCAGGACTTGTATGTTCATCTTCGTCGCTCCCTTGCAATGTCAGATTCTCTCTGTTTGGTACAAACGTGGCCTTGTAGGAACAGTAACTGTGTTTGCTCCTAATGGGTATCAACTTCTGTCTTCAAGTCTCAAATCTGGTTAAGCTCTGCAAGCCACTATGCAGTTTCTTTTAGTAGTGCAAAACCTTGTTATTAATAGTGTGTCTTGAAATGTCTTTTTCTGTTTTTGCTTGAGGACTGATGATTCGAGTTTCTCCTTCGTATTACTAATGCTTTTATGGATCTTTTTGTTTGCATGCTTGGGTTTCTCTGCTTCCTTTTCTCACATTCGTCTTTCGTTCGGTTCTGGTCGTGTAGCTGGTAACGCAGTATACTGTGTGCTTTAAGTGGTAGTCAACTGGAGTTGGTGGCGTTCTCCATGGGTGTCACTAAGATTTGTGGTTTTGGTGGTCCTTGTGTACATTTATATGACTGTCGAGTAAAACATCATCCATGAAGGACACGCAAGCCTGAAGAAGTGATAAATGTGCGAAAAGCTGCAGTTGCTGTGTGTGGACGGTGGAAACAGTGGTGTGGATGGAGAAAACCGAGATATAACACAAAGTCAACAGTGAATGAGGAGAAGGTTGAAACTCAATGTGTTGGGATCGATAAATCTGTCTATCGATGTATGATCGATACATCGATTCATCAGTGGTTTACTCGCTGATGGTCTTCGACGGGCAGCATCATCACCCACTTGACTAAGGAATAAAATAATTTAATTATCATTTCCACAATATCTATAAATTTCATCGCATATTTGTTTTTTTATCTGATTAGCTAGTAAATGATCCTTATTCGTCTTGCATATATTTCCCATATTAATTATTTGTCGACACACTTCCCAGATCCGATTAACCAGTATTATAATTAGATGTAAATGGATTGGATGACTAACTGTGATCCAACATCTCAAGTCTTCGCAGCTAGAAAAAATCAAAGAACTCCCCACCGGTTTACGTGGACCCAAAAGGCATCATCGTCATCATGACATCGGCGAGGAGGGGGGACCGTAACAGAAGTGACACACCATGCCACGACTTATCTCTCTCGTGGGCCCCCCCGGCCCACGATTCTTTGCCCCCCCTCCCCCGTCCCCCCTCCCCACCCTTTCGGATTCTTTGCATCCATTCCCTGAAAGGGACGCCATGCCGTGGCTGGGTCGTGGAGCTCTCGTTCACCTCACGCCCCAAAATGCTGCCATCTCCATCTTTGTGTACTTACTATGGTCCTTTGGTGCAACAACAGATCATGAGGATGCGTCACTGTTCTCTGCCACGAGAAGCAGCTCAGCTCTTGCGGCTTATGATGCGAGCAGGTCGTGTATTGCCAAGAATTTAGCTCCATGTGGGAACACTGCTGGAAGTGTCTTCGGTAAAGGATGAGCTGCATGTGAGAGGGCTTGGTTATCCTCTCAGCTTCATCATGGCTTTGGATACCAATAAAGATGGGTAAGCCATGCCATTAGGATGCTTGTTTTCTTGCAGCACAAGGTCTTCGAAGCATGAACATCTTGTGGATAAATTGAGCTTAAGATCGATCAAAGAAACATCAAAGAAGCAGCTCATTGTGACAAACAACAAGTGATCCCCGAAAACTTGTTGTGGTTTCGTAGTTTGTTTCATACCATGAAAGGCCTTCACAAGTCGTAGGAATCAGTCAATTCTTGACAGTGGTCAGCCACTCAGCTTCCCATGCAATGAGCATCCGAAGTTCATCTGCAATCATTTTGTGTTGAATTCAGAGTTAGAAATCAGAGGCATAGTTAAGGATCACCTGATCCTGCAAACATCGGATTCTTTTGTTGAAGCTTAGAATTCAACTGTCAAGTTGCTTCATGTATCTATCTGATGATCAAATGATCCCCTGTCTTTTGAGTTGGATGAACACTAAAAATTTAGAAGACAGGGCTCTAATTAATCCACCATTTTCAGTGCTTGATGATGCCTTTTCTGCACAACAATTTACTTCATTTGGAGTATCTTCTCTTTAGTTCATGACACCTCTTCTTACGCTTCAGAACATCTACATTTCTTCCTCGTAGTAAGAAATGATGGTTTGTTCTGCTCATTCAAGGCATTTCTAGATTAGAAAGAATAGGTAATTTGCAAATATCACATGATGGTTTGTTCTGCTCTTTCTTTTCTTATTTATTCTAAATCATTGAGAAGTCATCTCTTTATGATTGTGGTCCTAAAAGAGAATACGATGCATGTCTGCATTCGCATATGGTGAGATGTATGTGGATAATACAACCAATCCAAGTAGAAACTTATGTGCTAATTGCGCTGCATGACACCAGAAATTTCCTGCACAGGAGAACGCTTTGGATCTTCTCTTCTTTTTTCCTTCGGTGTGAAGAGAAGGGAGAAAGCTGGAGGGTGCTACGGTCATTATAATCCACAAGCTTTCTTATTTCTGGACAAAGAGATAGGAGAGCGAGCAGGTCCCTATGCTTCCCTATATAACGCCATCAAACCCCTTCACAGTCATGGAGGATAAGAGAAACAGGAATACAAGTACCTAAATCAAATTCGATCATCAAAATCTTCTTCTTCTTCTTCTTCTTCTTCTTCTGTTTGATTTATGATGTTGTAAAGTTATCTGTCAGCGCCGGTAGAAAATTCTGGGACTCATCGCTCCTTGTTTGTTCCTTCCATTTCATCCTCCCCTTCTTTTCTCATCCAAGGGATAGAAAGAGATGCGCTTGAGTGACCCCCTTCCCCAGAGTCCTCCTCAAGTCTCGGCTGTGGTGATCACCAGCTTCTTCCGTCACTCAATGCAGAGAATTCATGTAGTGATTTGGAAGTGAGCATCTCAACAGAGAAAAAGAACTCCTTTTTAGATACGACAGATGATGGAAGGAAGGATTGATGAGAGTTCCGGAATGGCAGTCTTGTTCACCACCGACGGGATTTGCACCAATGCCATCGAGGCGTTGCTTGCTCCGGGATCCTTTGCCGGTGGATGTCCTGGTAATTGTCTCTTTTTCTTCTTAGATTCTGTTTCCTCTGTTTCTGGGCATCACTTCTCCTTTTAAGAGGCATTACAACTTTGCCAAGAAAGCAGTATCTATTCCTCTCTTTGTTCCTTTTTCTTAATTTGGCTATTTTCTAAAATGTTTTTATATATATAATCTTGAGATTCCCAAATTTGATTATGTTGAATCCTATATAGAAACATTTTAGGATCATCTGTAGAACCATCTTAGATACTTGCCGGTTGGTAGCTTTCTTATCTTGTTTCCTTTCTTCCCCTGTTTATGGTTTTTTGCTTCCATCTTAGAGCAGTTGCTTGCATGAAAAGCTTTGACTTTTTCTCGACTGTCAATTTATGACACATCTTCAAGTTTTAGCTTTCTTGTTTATGTCGGTATCATCCATCGAGGAACATTGGTCGTATCGTTTAGTCGTGATTGCACTCTTTGGAGCACACAGTTTATCCTTGCACTACAAGTTGCGTGTAATGTTTTCCCAGATCATGATCACCGTACATTCTGCTTCAGGGTCGCAATTCATGGTGAATTCCGATGGCAGTCATGGGAACAGTCTCAAGTTTGGGCTCGAGGAAACTGCTGATGATGACTTGGACGAGTACCCTCAGCGGCCGGGGAAGAAAAGGCGGCTGACGGCCGACCAAGTCGAGTTCCTGGAGAAGAACTTCGAGGTTGAGAACAAGCTTGAGCCGGAGAGGAAACTTCAACTCGCCAAGGACCTCGGCCTGAAACCTAGACAGGTCGCCATATGGTTCCAGAACCGCCGTGCACGGTGGAAGGCAAAGCAGCTTGAGAAGGGGTATGAATCCCTGAAGTCCAGCTACGACTCCCTCAAGCTTGATCATGATAACCTGCTCAAGGAGAATGAGAAACTCCAGGCTGAGGTGATACATCCATCAAAACAAGTCTTTTTCTTTGCAGTCGGATGCCATGATCAGCGGATGAAATCCACACACTGTGTGTGTTCTTATTGATCTGGGTTTCCATGCGTCAGGTGGTGCTTCTCACTAACAAGCTTCTCCAAGAGGAGAAGGATAGCAGCAGCTGGGAATCGTTCCAACTAAGGATCTGCCCTGACAAGCTGCAACCAGGAATTGATGCTCAGGTCATGCTCTGCAAGCAAGAAGACTTCAGCTCTGCCAACAGCGCTGTGTTAGAGTCGGAGAGCCCTCAGCATGTCGACGATGGTGGATACTCCAACCAATCTCAAGTCGTGGGTTGTTGTGGCTTCCTCAGGCCCGAGAGCCATTCATGCAGCAATGAGTTCCAGGTGGAGGATCAAGCCTTGTGGTTCTGGCCCTGATTAGAGCTTCCACATCATCCATGACCAAATTCCTGTGTCTTCTTCATCCTGTCTTCGTTTTGCTTGCTCTCGAGTGGTGAACTCTCGGCAAATAAAAAGCTTTTCAGGCGACAAGCCACATCTCATATAATAGCTCTTCATCTGTATTCGCATTTCTCTTCCTCGAATCATTTGCAGATACTGTAATGCTCGCTACTTTTGGTCCATACCAGAGTAAAGAGTGATCTATCCTTGAACAGCAGCAGTAAAAATTGCATTCGTTTGTGGTTGCTATTTCTTCTTTGACGGGTGGTGGTGGAAAGCAGTAAAGGCATAGCCCTGGCTGCCACAGCAGTCTGCACCGCAGCAGAAGGATTCTGATCACCGCTTTGATGTTGATCCGGAAGTGACGGATTGTGGTGGCGATTGAGTGTTTGGTGATGGTGCCGTCTGAGAGAGAGAGAGAGAAAGAGAGAGATTTAGATCATCTTGTTCAAGATGTATCCAGAAGACAAGAACCACAATACACGCTCTACATGAACATGAGAACGACCACGAAACGAAGAGTAGACCAAATGCTGCTGCAAGTTCACTTGGAGTCCGAAGAAACGTGAACTCTGCCTTCCGACGTGGCCACAATTCTTTTCTCTCCATAAAAAGAAGGCACGTGTTGGTGGGTCAAAGTTACGTGTACACGTGTTGGTAGCCCATCGAATCGCATGCTTCACGTGGGGGGTGGGCCATCGAACCCCAGCGCAACACGTTTCACCATCACGCGGGCCACCGTGTCGGCTTGTCCCGTGGGAAAGACGATCGCTCCTACACACCAAGACAGGGTTCGCGTTCAGTCTTGGAACCACAAAGCCGGCCCCCACTTCGTGGAAGTGCTTCGGTGGCAGTCTCGTGCGTAGTGACTGTCGAGTCAACAATTGATGTGGGCGTACAAGTGATGAAGTGGATTGTCCATTGTCATGATGCGATTGGAGGAGGCGTGGTGTGTGATTCTCATTCCTCCTTGTATAGTTGCATGGCAATCCACGTCGTAATTCTCTTCCACATATTCTCAGCAGCAGCGTCAGATTTCTGGTCGTACCGTGCACGTTGATGAGGACAAACTCAGGGAGCAACATAGGGGATTACGTGCTGTTGGCTTGACAGCAATTGGATGGGTTGGTGCAGTGAGATCTCGGAAGTCCATCTAACCAAGAGGTAGTGAAATTAACCTTTATTGTGACATAACGGGGACTTTATTATCAGGATCAGCAAGTATTTTAAGGATAGCCCCTCAAAACATAGTTGAACTCCTCAAATGCTGATCCTACATTCGCTCAAAACCGATGGATGTAACTCACACGAACGGCCTGCTCCTCCTCCTCTCTCGGAGCATGCATGCACATCAAGGCTGTGGCTCCCCTCCTTTCTCTCCACTCTCCTCCTTCTATATTACCTCTCCAACACTCCAAACCCTCATCACAGGCCGGGAGGACAAATGACCCTATCCTTATAATCACTATCATTCCGGTCATTTGTTCTGTCTCGGTCTGCCTGATACTCCACCCACGAAAAATATTTAGCTATCATATACGGGGGAGGGAAGAAGAAGAAGACGACGATAGGCTTTACGATGGAGTACAAGCCGCGGTTCTTCTTCTTCTCCCTCCTCTTCCTGGCTTCCGCCGCCTTCACCAGTGCTCACATCGCCGACTACGACGAGTACTGGCAGAAGAAGGCTGCGCTAGCGCGTTCCCACGCCAACAATGCCTACAACCCCAACCCTGAGTCTGTGACCCATCATTTCAATGAGGCGGTCATGAGGTGTGCCGCGTAGTCTGTTTGCACATGACCATGGATGACCACAGAAAACTACGTGAATTCGATCAACGTTCGATGCCTTCCCTTGTTCTGAGTAATCTTGGTAATGGCTGCAGGGACCTGGCGAGTAACAGCACCAGGAGGGGCCTTCGCGGCAAGATGAGGAACGAGGACGGTGCATGCCAGGCGACGAACCCCATCGATCGGTGCTTCAGGTGCCAATCGAACTGGGTTCACCACCGCAAGAAGCTGGCCACCTGCGCCAAGGGCTTCGGCCGCCACGCCACCGGAGGGAAGAACGGGGACTTCTATGTCGTCACCGACTCGTCCGATGCCGACCTCGTCAACCCTCGGAATGGCACACTCCGCCATGCTGTCATCCAAGACAGGCCTCTCTGGATCGTCTTCGCCCATGACATGCTCATCCGCCTCACCGAGGAGCTCATCATCAACAGCAACAAGACCATCGATGGCCGGGGGGCGAACGTCCAGATCGCGTACGGCGCCGGCCTCACCATCCAGTTCGTACACAATGTCATCGTCCACAACATCCGCATCCACGACATCAAGGCCGGCAACGGCGGCATGATCCGGGATTCCGAGGAGCACTACGGCCTGCGGACCCGGAGCGACGGCGACGGCATATCCATCTTCGGCGCTAGCAACATCTGGATCGACCACGTCTCCATGTCCAACTGCATGGACGGGCTCATCGATGCCATCGAAGGCTCCACCGCCATCACCATCTCCAATAGCCACTTCACCCAACACAACGACGTAGGTTAAAACTCGGTGATATAATCCCCTCTGCGTTCTATTGCTCAGAGGACGATGACCAACTATGAAACATTGTTCAGGTGATGTTGTTCGGTGCTAGCGATGCATTCTCGGGAGATGCAATAATGCAGATCACGGTTGCTTTCAACCACTTCGGGAAAGGGCTTGTTCAGAGAATGCCAAGGTTATACACTGACCTCCTCCTCCTCCTCCTCCTTCACATTCTACTTGGATGCATGACGATCTCTTCTTCGCAGCAGATGCCGATGGGGTTTCGTCCATGTGGTGAACAATGACTACACCCACTGGATGATGTATGCCGTCGGCGGTAGCCAACACCCTACCATCCTCAGCCAAGGGAACCGATTCATTGCACCACCCACCCTATTCGCCAAGGAGGTAAACAAATACTTCCACCCTCCTAATCTTCTCTCAACTTCTACCAAATATATATATTCACATTCAACTTACGGTGTGTAGGTGACCAAGAGGGAGTACTCACCAGAGCCAGTATGGAAGCAGTGGTCATGGAGATCTGAGGGTGACCTGATGGCGAACGGAGCATTCTTCGTGGAGTCAGGAGCTCCAATTACCAAGCCCTACGCGGATCTCATCAAGGCCAAGCCGGGAAGTTTCGTGACCAGGCTCACACGCTTCGCCGGCTCTCGCCCCTGTATTCCCAACCAGCCATGTTAAGCACCTGCAGGTGGGAGCTCCATTGGAATAGCGTGAGTGAGCAACAAAGATCATGTATGTGCTGGAGGAGTCGAGAGGGAGAAGAGAAGAGAGCCACATGTAGACAGTGGTGGAGTTGCCAGGTGATTTCGCCATTGATCATGTGTTTCGATCATTTGCGATTACGAAGACCAGTTTTGGTTACTCGTTATTGTCGACATATTTATTTCTATATTTATGCAATAACACATGTTCATATTTCCACATGCATCTCCTACAACTATATCTCACATATATATATATATATATATATATATATATATATATATATATATATATATATATATAATTCAAGTAAAAATTTCTGTACTTATTTTATAAGACACTGTTAAATCTCCACAAATGGAAAGGTAATTTGAACATTTTACACTGAAGTCTTGTTGGGTAATTTGCGTGGTTCACATGGGTTAAATTACAACATTAGTGATTGCATCTTTGATCTATGAACACACATGAAAGGTAAGGAATGTATGAAATAAACATATGGAGAGAAATTTGTGATTTCACATATCCAAAGAATAATTATTGATTTATGTATAGGTTTTCTAACAAGTTCTTCACTCCATTTACATGTTTTTTTGCCTCCAAAACTAGCAAATGACAATTAATGCCCGTAAAGATCATTAGATGATAATCAAGTTTAATTTTAGACCCAAAATAATAAGAGTTAAATTAATTTGCAAGAGTCTAAGAGTATACTATCATCAAGTTGGGCTTAGATATTTTGGGCCATGATATAATAGACCTAACAAGTTAATAGGACGAATTCAATTTATTATTGGGTATGGTAAAAGATCCAAAGTGAAAAAAGATTTTATATATATATATATATATATATATATATATATATATATATATAATAATAATAATAATAATAATAATAATAATAATAATAATAATAATAATAAAGACACATCATAGTATAAAGTCACTATTGGATTTAACTTTGATATTAAATTATGTAAGAATCTTAGTGAGGACGTGACGTCTTTAAACGAGAAAAATTATAACATCTCAATTTAATCTCATATTTAAAATAAGAAAAATTAAATTTATGATGGCTTGATGATTATATTATCATCTTTTTAAATTAAATATTTTGTGTCTATTTATGTAGTTAATGAATCACAGTGATGCTTGATGTATATGGAAAATCTTTGATTCATCGATACCAACATGGCTCATTGCAAGCACAAATTTGTATTTTGTATTTATCAAAGAACGAAAATTCAGTTTCTTATGTAATTTCAGCACAACTCAATAAAGAAGAATCAAATTTGCTGATAGAAATCATCACTGTGTAGTTGGAACCAACTTGCAATTATAGCCTATTTGTGATTACTTCAAGGGCGAGTCATAACTTCAACCATCTAAATATGATTTGAGTCACAAATTTCTTTTCGTTTTTCCTTTTTTGCAGACATAAAACATTAATCGGTTTGAATATTGCCAAGACGGATATGATCAACCTAAATGCAACTATGTCATAAGCTGTAGAAAATACAAGTGATAATTTCTTATTGAAATGTTTTATTGATTGCCTTTGTCTCTGACCATTATCATAATTGTTATATCAATCACTACTCTTGCTTAACAGACCGAGGAAATCACATAAATCTATTCCATTATACTAAGTATGATATACAATGACTGGTGTTTGAACACCCAGGATTTGAGGTCAGCTGATCCTCAACTGCTCTATCTTCATAAAGATTCATGCCAGTGGCTTTATATACACAAGTGCTAAGTGATTCCCAGTAAGTAGGACATGTCTGATCCTTTAGTCCTAAACAAATTGCTAAGAGCTGTCAAGTTCATTCATCATCTGATTCAAATCGGTGGGTAGGTGTTGTCAATCTTAGTTCCACAATCCCCTTGTCTTTTTATTAGACCAAGTGTTGATTTCTTTTCTTCCATTCCCATTGACAAGTTCATAGGGCATGAGCTCAGAAGACGACTAAGTCTGCTAATTGAGTAGACAATACAGTAATCGATCCAGTATGTTGTCAAAGTTGATAATTCTACAAGTACAACAAAATCACTAGTTTATTCTTCACCCAAGTTTCTACAAAGACAACTTGTACATATGTATAGTTCTATTTGTTTTTTACGCTTGATCTGTATAATTGTCATCTAAGTTAGTACCAATGCCGTGGAGAACTATGAGTTTTCGGTCACAAGTTGGCAATCACATAATAAATTAGACCATGATATTACTTGAATAAATGTGGCATTTTGAAGTGTCATAATCGAATATTAGAGTGGTTGTGTTTTGTCTGAGGGTGGTCAGTTGCGTTGATATTGCTTGCATGTCTGTGGTTGTCAACTATATATATGTGATTCTTCCTTGATAGGATGCTTGCAAAGTACACCTAAGATGTGAAGGAAAACCAAAACGTTGACTGTGTGGATAGATGATGGCATCACTAAACCTGTCTCTTTGTGATGAACAACTCATGACAGTAGACTTCTTGGGTGTAGATAGTTGAAAATGCCATCTTAGTGATGAACACGACATTGACCCGATTAATCCAGCAAACAAATAAAGAACATGATGTGTAAATCTTACTTGGTAATTTCTTCTGTCTATTGCCTTAAATTTTTCGCAGTTGATGTTGGAATGACCAGCACTTGATGAAAGGCATTGACCAACTTCAATATGATAGTTGCAGTTTGGAGGCTTCCCTGTGTTTCAATAAGGCCACTCGACTTCCACATCTGCAATAAAGTGACAGGAGAGGCTGGACATGGAACTTTGATTGTATCTTGGCTGCATTAACTTTGAATACCTATGATGGATTTGGACTTTCTTTTACATTCCAATAAAACAAATAGAAGAATTCAATTCGGAGAAAAATAATTAAGTTTGGGAGACGTGTAAGGTAACATAATGAACTATTCCATTGGCCTCATTAAGATTTTGCTGCTGATTGCCTACCTCACCCCAGAAATTGAAATGGCTTGATGCTGAAGAAGTAAAAGAACACCATCAAAAGATGTGACTTAGCCTTGACATAATCATGTTTTGTTTTTTTGGGGGACATTGAAGAAAGATAGAGATTGAAAATTAGGCTTTCTCCTGGATGTTGAACTTGCCTTGCAATTAGATCCAAATCAAAGTTCAATGGGACAGTAGGACAAGGAATTCATGATTGTTGTTGGGTAGGAAGTCATCATCTATAATTTTATTTACAATCTAGAAGTCAGGCTTAATATGACCATAGACTTCAGCAAATATATTAAGATCTTGGAAAATCAAATAATCTGCCCTATTGTAAAAAGCAACAAAAGTCTATTAGAGCCATATATGTTGGCAATCTAAATGATCACTCAGGATGTACTTGGTTAATATTGTTACTGTACTAAAAACATTTGTATTGCAAAAAATATTGTATCTCAACATGGATTACCTGCTCCTATTTTCTGGCCAATTTTATAAGACATGAGCTTTATGTCAGTCTCCTGTTCTTAATCACCTATAGAACACCAGGCTAAGCCAAATTTTGGAGTAAATGAATTGGTTAGCTTGTCCAACACATCATTAACTTTGCTTACAACATGAAGCAGTTGACTGGCTAAATAACTATCAATAAATCACTGCTGTTGTTCTAGGGTTAGCTTGGCCTACTACTTAGCCACCATGGTTTCTTACGTCATTGATGCAATGAATGAATGGACGAAAGGTGGGTGACAGATCATGGGATAAGACAGATCATGGGATAAGGTAAACAGTTCCATTAATTAGATCTGTGTCCTCATTAAAAAAACTACTACTGATAAGCCAAACAGTCACCATTGAATGCTGACAACTACCGCACACTAATTGGCAGCAGGTCTTTGGAGAAGACCACGCATGGATGTTCACAGATCTGTCCAAGAACCAGCTTACATCTCCTTGTTGATCGTCCCATTTGAATCAATGAAAGACTCAAGTATTATTATGTTTCATTTTTCGCATTTTCGACATCGAACGAAATATTGTGTGCGGAAAGAGAGTGTAGAAGCATCGAGTACATCAAATAATTCATCAAACAATGACTTCTGGGAAGGGTTTCATCTAACTGAGGTCCTTATCTTTCTCCAACTTGATTATTTCTTCCGGCTGGTTTGACATTAGCGTCGAAAAATCATCCTCATATGGTAGTTTTAGATCCGTGTGAAGGACGGCTCTTATAGTACTGGATCTCTGTAGTATTTATGTACGCATGTATCTATCAGCATGACTACTGCTCAACTTCCAGTGATAACCCTATCTCATCTGATTGCATGTTAATATTTTGAAGAGGTTTGTTGGGAGTCTGCTATAGCCAAGTATGATGCCAAAACCAGTCTTATTGTAAATTGTGTATACATCATCATCATCATCATCGTCTTTGTGAGGACCAGCACATGATGCATGGGAGCTTTTAGGTCAATGGATGGCGGCGCTCCCACAGGAACTGATTCCTGTAATCTAATGGATCTGCCCGGGTGTCACGAGACACAGAACAGTGAGCATCATCCCATGCATGTCTCCAGCCAATCAACGAGGTGTAGATCTCAAAAGTACTATATAATGTAGTTCTTCCATGATCATAACAGAGTTGACACCCTAAAGCATGCATGTGATCCATGAGCACAACACTTGCAGCACGTCAAGTTCTCATTGATCAAAGAGCTTTTCTAATGTCTGCTTGTGACAGTTACTCAACTGCTCGATTGGATCGCCATTGACAAGCTCTTAGTTTGAATCTGGAAAGGAAGCAAGACAAAGAAAGAGAAGAAAGGGGCCTCTCTGGTGCTGTTAAGTTTGATATCTTGGTCAGCAGTTGCTGCGAAAGCATAGAGACTTTGATCGTCCAAATTGAACTCAGAGTCCACATGGTTGCTGGTGGCCAAGCGCAAGAGTTTCCCCATCATCATCTTCTTCTTCAATGCTTATGGCCCCATGGATATGCAATGTTTTGTGTCTCAAGAACAAAATGAGATGGACGTGATATTGGTGGAGAATAATTCAGAAAGTGATAGATCTCAGTAGCTCATAAAGAAGATACATGGAGAAGACACTAAACTACTATTTTCATTCATCATCATTCTATCAATATCATTAACCACGACATATAACATGAACTGTAGCAGGTAATGATCAGTGCAACACACACCAACTAACGAAAAGATAGAATAAGTTAATGATCTAATAATGAACAGTTCATCAAAT